TGCTGGGCCTGCAGCCTGGGTCAAATGAGGATCTAGGGGGCCCGGGTTGTCTCACTAACTCGCCTGGCCTGTGCTCCTGGTCTATTCAGGATCCCATGGCCTGGGTCGTCTCACTCACTCCCTGGACCTGTGCTCTGGGTCTATTCAGGATCCCGCAGGCCCTGGTTGTCTCACTCCCTTACCAGGCCTGCGCTGTGGGTCTGTTCAGGAGAGCGAGCCTGCGCTCTCCAATAGCTATTTCTTGAATGAAATAAACCAACAGTGATCAGATACCATTCCCTATGTTACCATAAACACTGACAGGCTGGCTGTGAGATAGCAGGCGAATCGAGAGGTTCCTAGTAAACCCTCCAAATTAATTTTCCAACTCCAAACGCGTGCTCCTTGGTAGGACCAGCAGACATCTGCTTTGCCCATCTCCTTCTCACCCCTAAAACTTTAACTACTACAGTATTGAGTTCAGGCCAACGCAGACATCAAAAATATTTAGCACAAGTCTGGGTTTGCTGCTGTGCACTTGCAATCCAAGAACTGAGGAGGCTGAGGCAGGAAAATCCCTATGAATTTGAGGCCAGCTTGATTTTTATTTTTATTTTTTGTGGTACTGGGGATTGAAATCAGGACCTTGTGCTTGCCAGGCAAGAGGCCAGCTTGAGATACATAGTGAATTCAAGACCTGACTCAACTACACAGTGACACTCTATCTCAAAAAATATTTAGCACATTACTTTATAAACCTTCGGACATTAACCAAAACAATAGATTTTCTTAACTCTATATGGCATAAAGGAAACAAAGCCTAGTTGAGAAAATCAAACTCACTCAGGAGGCCCCCAAGCCTGAGAAGAGGGGTGGGACCCACCAGGTTGCGGATTAGTCGAAACTCAGGGATACTGCCCTTACCGCATTGCAATTTGAGGCTGGACCGAGGTGTCCCAGGAGGCATGTGGGGCGGAGCAAAGTAGGGCGGGCAGGATGTCCTCCGCCCACCCAATTCAGGATTGGTCGAGACTCAGACGGGACCGCCCCTCCCGGGGCGAGGCGGGAGCAACAGCGGGGGCGTCCCTGGAGGTGGACCAAGCCTGGGAGGGGCCGCGTGCGCTCCGCCCATAAGACTCAGATTGGTCAAGAATCAGAAGGCCCTGCCCCTACCCGCCCACCGCGTGCACTGGGCGGGGCGGCCCTGAAGGCGCGTGCCTGCCCCCGGGCTGGCGGGCGGGCGTGGCGGGAGGCGGCCGGCGGCCGGGGCTGAGCTTGGAACCAGGACTGAGGATGCGGCCACTGAACTGGTCTGCCGGTCTTGGGTGTGGCTGAAGGATGGCGACCGTGCGGGTGGCCGTGAGGGTGAGGCCCCTCAGCAAGAGGTGAGTCTGAGCGTGAGGGGGCGCCTGGGGCACAGCGGGAGCCGTGGGAGCGCCAGGAGCCCGCCTCCCTCGCCGAAGCTCCGGGCGCGCCTAAACCAGACACAAAGTGACCGAGGCTCGGGTCAGGGATCAGGGCCTGTTGGGTGAGAGCCTGCAGGGGGCTCCGGTCTGGCCGCGGCCAGCTGCTCGCTGCCGGTGCAGGATCCCCGGCGTCTTGTCGGCGGGACAGCTGTGAAAGCCAGGGGGCGGGGTGGGCGCTCGGCTCTCGGTGTCGGTAGGAAGGGCAGTTGGGTAGCGGCCGCGGGTTTCCTCTGCGAGGCCGTGAGAACTCAAGGGCCGGCTTGCACTGCACCGCTGACCTGATCGGAGCGGAACTGCGGAGCAGGGGAAGTCACTGCCACCCCTTCCTCAGCAGTCTGCACTTCGAAGCCTTTGAGGCAACCACTGTCAGCCTTTCTTTTTTCCACTGGTACATTTGGGAAGTCAGAAGGCTTTGCAGAGGGTTTGGTGGTGGAACTGTCTTTTAAAAACTGTTTTGTTTTTAGAAACCGGGCGTGTCTCAAAAAAGGGCAGCACTAGCTCAGTAGGGAGGCTCAGGGTTCAATCCACAATACAAAAACAAACAAAACCCCAAAACGATACACCAAAAACTTTGAGTTTAGAATTTGCTGACAGAGAAAGTGCACGGAGTTCTGGATGGAGAAAGGACACCAAGAGAGAAAGATTAAGGCTTTTAACATATTTTAGTTGAGAGGGAGTTGGTGTGGAGAGTGGAGAGAGGTGATAAAATGAGTGGCGAACCTGAAGGCATTTCCTGGAATTATTGAGAAATTTAAAACATTTCCAGGACATAACCTGGCTTATAGTTAGTCAGAGAGCCAGGTGTGATGCCACATATCTGTAGTCCCAGCATTTGGGAGGCTGAGGCAGAAAGATTGCTGTGAGTTCCAGGCCAACCCTACATAAGTGAGTTCAAGACCAGCGTGGACTGCATGGCAAGGCCCTGTGTCAAAGAGAAGAGATGAGAAAGAAGAGAAGAGAGGAGAGAAGAGACTCCTAGCTTCTGCATATAATTAGAGTGGTATCTCTGTGCCCATTAATTAGTTTCTGGATACATAACCAGTACTGGCAGTCAGTGCTGACAAATTTTCCCTTATGCATGGAGTACCAAACAAATTATAAGTACCAGGATAAATTTTTGTGTTGAAATTCACCGAGTTCTGGGCCGGGGAAAGTAGCTCAGAGGCATAAGCACCTGTTTGGCCAGCACAAGGTCTGGAGTTCGATCTTTGGACCTACATCCTGTGTGGGCCGCAGAACCCCTTTGTCAGCCCCAGAACTGGATATGGTGGTGCACTCCTGAGTTCGAAATTCGGGGAGTACCAGGACAGGACTGATTGTGGTGGCTCAGGGACTGGGGAGTGGTTCACAGGTGCAGTGGCTGCCCTAGAAGTAGTCTCTGGTAGATCCTTTTTCCAAAACTGTTTTTTTTTTTTTCAGGGAAGGGTCTACAGGGTGTTCAGGGTCTCACTAGTAGATTGGACTCATAGTGATCCACCTGCTTTCAGCCTCCCAAGTGCTGGGGTTGCAGGTGTGCGCCAACACTCCCAGTCTCAATTGCCTCTCAGTGCTCCCTGGGGGTGGGGCCTGCTTGGCAGGCACCGTTTATTGAGCCCCTGGCCCCTGCCTGCTTGCAAGTGCTTTAATCTGCGGAGCTATTTGGCCAGCCCTTGGTGGTGTCCTTTCTTGAACTTTGTTTTCTATTTCTTCAATTTTAAGTAATCCTCATTTTGTTTTATTTTGGAATCATTAGGTTACTAATGACAGTGGTCTTGGTGGGCAGCAATATCTTACCCTCCCATAGTATTATATATTTCTACCAAAAGGTTAAATTCAGGTTTGTTTTTTTTTTCCTTTGTTTTATGCCAAGGTCCCTGATGAATCCTTATAAAAGAATAAACTTAAGAAAATAGACTGGAAAATGTTATTGTGTTATTTCTTTTTCTTATTGTCCAAATTTGCTATGCTTTGAGGAGTATTACTTTTATGTCTAGCAAAGGAGAATAATTTAGAACAGCATCAAGATGCAAGAGGGAAAGCCAGGCATGGCAGCACATGCCATTTGGGAGGCTAAAGCAGGAGCATCACTGCTAGGGGTCAGGACAACCTGAACTATATAATGAGCCTCTGTCTTACACACACACACACACACACACACACACACACACACACACAGATGCAGAAGGGAGAAAAGAAGAGAGAAAGAAACTTTATTTTTGTGACTTAGTGCTGGGATTATTTTGTAAAGCTGTAATATGTTTCTATGGGAGAGTTGAGGTTAGGATTGTAGTTTTAGCTTTGGATGGACTAATAATCCTTACAGGTTAAGAATATTTCTGCTAGCCAAGTATGCTGGTACATGTCTAATCCCACTGCACTGGGAGGGAGAGAGGGCAAGACCATAGGATTCCAAACTCCAGCCCAACAAGTTAGCAGTTCATTGATACAGTGTCATAAAGGTGTGTGTGTGTGTGTGTGTGTGTGTGTGTGTGTGTGAAGGACTGGCCTGGCAGTGTAGTTTAAATAAATTTGAAAATTTAAAGAACAGAAATACAATTTATCTCAGCAAGGGAAGCAATACAGGACATTATTCCAGGCTTCCTCACCTTTTAAGTTTTGGGGTTTTTTTTGTTTTTTTTTTTAGTACCAGGAATCCAACTCAGTTTCTTGTGCTTGCCACGCAGACACTGTGCTGCTGAGCTATATCCCTCAGAGGTTTACAAAAAGAATTACACATTTTAAAACCCCGTGTCTTGCTGGTTGTAGTAGGCTGCCTGGGCAACTTAGACCTTGTCTCAAAATGAAATTTATTTATTTATTTTTTTTTTAAATTTAATTAAGTTTATTTATTTATTTATTTATTTTGTGTGTGTGGCCAGCTCAGCCCACCAGAGGGCGGGGCTGGCTGGCATGTGGTGCTGGAGGATTGAACCCCGGTCCCTGTGCTTTGCTTGGCTTAGTTTGTTCTAAGTAGGTGCTTTAGACCACTGAGCCATCTCACCAGCCCTCAAAATGAATTTTGGGAATGTGACTGAGTAGTGGAATGCCTGTTTAGCATCTTGTAAGGTTCTGGGTTCAGTCTTCAGTACTGCAAAAACAAAATTTAAAAAATCCCATCCACACCCCTCATTCCCATAGGTCACATCCTGGGATGCTTGTGGAAGGATAAAAGTGCAACTGAAAGTGTTTTGTCTACTTTCAGGTCCCCAAGCTGGGCGTAGTTTAACTGATAAAGTCCCTTGCAGTGGGGGTGGGTGGGTGAGGCTAATGATTTTAATTTTCTTTTGTTAACATTTGGCCTGGAGTTTTCTCCCTCCCTTCCTCTTCCCTTCCCTTCCCCTCCCCCTCCCTTTCTTTCTTCCTTTCTTTCTATTTTGCTTTTGCAGCACCAGGGATAGAACTCAGGACTCTGCACTTGCCAGGCAGACACTTATCCTACTGAGCTATCTCCGTGGTCCCTTTCTGGTTTTTTGAGACAGGGTCTCTTGTGTAGTGAAGACCCAGAGTCAGCCAGCCTGCCTGCCTGCCTGCCTGCCTGCCTGCCTGCCTGCCTTCCTCTCTCTCTCTGTCCTCTGCCTTTCTGTCTTTTCCTTTTTTCTTTTTAGTTTTTTTGAGACTAGATAGGATCTCCTATGTAGTGCAGGCGGGCCTTAAACTTGCATCTAGCTGGCTGAAAATTCATGGCGATCCTCCAGCTTCATGGCCTGGAGCACTTTAACAGAAACTCTTTATGTTATGAGAAGAGATGGGCTTCGGTGTGGGTCACCTGGATTAAACCCAGTGAAGTGAGTATAGAAGTTAATTCTTAGTGTTGGAGGCTGTGGAGATGGCTCAGTAAGGTCCTGAGTTCAATCCCTGGTTCCACCAAAAAAAAAAAAAAAAAAGTTCTTAGTGTTCCTATATGACTGCAACATACAAAGATTCTTTTTGGTTTTTTTTCAGAACTGGGGATTGAACTCATGCCCTTGCGCTTGCCAGGGAAGCACTTATTCCACTGAGCCATCTCCCTGGCCTCAATTCTTTTTGTTTTTAAGATAGGGGTTCAGAGGGGCTGGGGAGATGGCTCAGTGGAATAAGTGCTTCCCTGGCAAGCGCAAGGGCCTGAGTTCAATCCCCGGTTCCGCAAAAAACAAAACAAAGCAAAAAACCAAAACAAAACAAGATAGGGGTTCAGCCTGGCTTGACTATAGTGTGTAGTCCAGGCTGACCAAAACTCATGGTCCTTTAGGCTCAGCCTTCTGACTGATGGGATTATAGAAAGATCCTTAAGATCTCGACTTTCGTTTTTTGTTTTGTTGTTAAACATGGAAAAGTCTTTATTTTCATACTAACATTAAAAAGCAAATACAGAACACAAACTGAAATCCTACAGACTTGTTTTCAGAGCCAGTGTAGGAACAAACCCTCACCTGGAAAACAGTGCTGGAGGCGGCAGTGAGGATCCTTTTGGGCAGCTCCAGTGTGGTCAGGAGGTTGGAGCCGGGGTCTAGATGTCAACTGTTTTTTTTTTTTTTTCCTCTGTATTTTAGGGAAGGGTCTATAGGATGTTCAGGGTCTCACTACTAGATCAGACTCATAGTGATTCTCCTATTTATAGTCTCTCAAGTGCTGGAATTACAGGCTCACGGCACCCAAACAGTCTCTATCACAGTCTCAGTGTGCCCCAGGGGTGGGACTGGCTCTGCAGGCCCAGAGATTGAACATCAGGCCCCTCTGCCTGCTTGCAGGCGCTTTAATCCGAGGAGCTATTTGGTCAACCCTTCAACCGTCTTGATTCAAGAAGATAATAAAGAGTTTGTGAAATAATTTCTCAGTGTCTCAATAGAGAGGACTGTAATACCTTTTTGTTTATTTTTATTTTTTGAGACAAGGTCTTGCTATGTAAAACTAGCCTTGAACTGACTACATTGCTGGGTGGATCTTGAACTCATGATGATCCTCCTGCCTCAGCTTTGTAAGTGCTATGATTACAGGCTTGTGCTACTGTGCTCAGCTTGGAACCCCAGTACCTTTGTCATCAATGTTCCTATTTAGAGAAATTGAGCTGTGTGTATAGTTCATGGCACAGCGCCTACCTGGCAAGCACAAAGTCCTGAGTTCAATTTCTGGTACCCCCAAAAAAAAAAAAAAAAGTAAAGAAGTTGAAAGATTCTACCATCTTATGTGTTGGGCCAGGGATGCTCTCTATGGTTTACACATCTGGTTTATAAGGTGTAGTTAAGATTAAGAGCCCAGGGGCCAGCCAGATAGCTAGAGGATTAAAGTGCCTGCTTAGCCAGACAAAGGGACCAGGGTTCGATCCCCAGTGTGTGTGTTGGCCTTGCCCCTGGGGCACGCTGAGACAGTGATTGAGACTGAGCCCAGTGGTGTGCACCTGTAATCCTAGTGCTTGGGAGGCTGAAAACAGGAGGATCACTTCAAGTCTGATCTGTGTAGTAAGACCCTGTACTAAAAAAATACATTAAAAAAAAAGAAAGATTAAGAGCCCAGGTTTTTTGGTCGGCCACATCTAGGTTTAAATCTTAGCTGTGTTGTTGCTGTGTGACCTTAGACAAATTACACAGTATCTCTAAGCTTTAGTCTTCCATCTGTAAAATGATATATTAAGGAAGCAGGAAGCTAGAACAGTGCAGTACAATATGTCAGGCATCTCATACAGTCCTTTGTACATAAAGAGTAATCAGTAAGTGATGACTTAGCTGCTCCTAAGACTACTGATCTAGGAAGCAAATGTCTAGGGGAGTCCTTGGTTTGATGCTTTCAGCTGTTTATGGAGACAGATGCACTACTTACAGAGATAGCAGTAAGACAATGGTTTTTCTCCCTCGTGCTGGTTTCAGCATCTTTCATTTTTTAAAAAATGTATTTGGTACAGGCTTTCACTTTGTAGCTTGGAGTTGTAGTGATCTTCCTATTCTCAGCCTCCTTAGCCCTGGGATTACAGGCATGCACCACCATGTTGGTGCCAGGAATTGAATCCCAGCCCCTGTGCTTGCCTAAGCAGGCGCTTGGTCCACTGAGCTGTCTTGCCAGCCCTCTCTCATTGTTTGTTTGTTTTTTTTTTCCGGAACCGGGGATTGAACTCAGGCCCTTGCACTTGCCAGGGAAGTGCTTATTCCACTGAGCCATCTCCCCGGCCCTCTCTCATTGTTTTTTAAAAAATGCTTCTCATACAGATTTGGATTTTTCTTCTAGGGAGACCAAAGAAGGAGGAAAAATTATTGTGGAAATTGATGGCAAAGTGGCAAAAGTCAGAAATTTAAAGGTAAGCTTGAAAGTGTTGTCCATTTGCTTTCCACTGAGAGGCTGATTCTGGGGTGAAGGTGTATATGTCAATGTGTTTAAAATGGGGGAAAAGGGAAGGGAAGAACCTATAAGGTGAATTGTGAGGAAAGTTTGGATCAACTGTAAAGCAAATTAAACAATAAGCCAGGGAATATGGCTGCTGGAGCCTGTCTTATGAAATAGGTGCAGCTGTTTTGGAAACTGATCGGCAGCTGCTTTGAGAGAATAAAAACAAAGGTTGTTATAGGGACCATGATTATCTTAAATCATGCCATGGGCAATCCAGTATCTAAACCACCCCCTACCCCCGTGGCTTTTCTAAGCCTTTTAGCTGATACCATTTTAGAGCAGTGATGTTGACCTTTTTTTTTTTTTTTTTTTGTGTGTGTGTGTGTGTGTGTGTAACCAGGGATTGAACTCAGGCCCTTGAGCTTGCCAGGGAAGTGCTTATTCCACTGAGCCATCTCCTCAGCCCCCTGTTGAACTTTTTAGAACCCAAACACCCACACTGTAACCCAAATCCTCCTTTTTATCACAAGGTGCCAATACTACAATTAAACCTCAATACTGAGTTTTCATTTAGAAACAACAACAACAACAACATTGTTTTTCAGTGCTCAGCTGCTGGGGGAAACTTGGCTATCATGTCAACAGAGAGGGGTCTGTGCCCATGGTAGCACATGTGCCGTAGGTTCAGCACCACTACTTTAGAGGTATTGGGGATTTTAGGGTATACCTAACATTGTAGGATTTTGACCATAGTGAGGTCCAGGTAAAAGCATAAATTCTCAAAAGGGAGTTGATCACTAGCTGAGTCTTTTGTTTTCAGTGTATTTGGTTGTTGTGGGGTCTCACTACACACCTCCAGCTTAGTCTTGTTACAGATTTTCTTTCATAGATACAACTGAACTTTGAGTCATAGTTGGACAGACACAGGAAACTTCTTTCCCTGCCCCCCGCCCCTCTCCCCCAGCTAACTTCCTTCATCTCCTTCCTCCATTTATTAGACCAGTGGAAGATGGAAGGGTTTGTCCTTTGTATTCTGGAGGGATGGAGAGAGGGGAAGTTGACCATGTGACCACAGTTACAGTCAGTTCCCAGGTGGAAACCAGCATTCCAGAGAGCTGAGGAGACTGACAGGCAAGTGTGAGGGTTATCTAGACTCCTGGCCTGAGAGCGGTGCCTATTGCTTTGATGTGGTCTGTTTTCGCTTTTTGCAAATTCTGCTGAAAGAATGGGATCTGCCAAACTTTCAACAGGAACTCCCTGGGGACAAAAGACTTATTTTCCTCTGTATTTTACTTATATCTCTGTTGCCTAATTACATTAGTTATTTCATTCTAAGATCTCATTTTTGGTTCTTAAGCATAAATCTTAGTGGTACAGACCTGTACTCCCAGCACTTGGGAGGCTGAAACAGGAGGATCACCATGAGTTGGAGGCCAGTATGGGCCGCATGGACAAGTTTGAGGCCAGCTTACACTACAGTGAGACCCTGTCTTTTTTTTTTTATTTTTTAAATTTTTACTTATTATTATTATTATTATTATTATTATTATTATTATTTTGGTGGAACCCGGGATTGAACTCAGGCCCTTGCGCTTGCCAGGGAAGTGAGACCCTGTCTTAAAAAGGAAAGCACCAAAAAAGAATAAATCTTAACCAAGATTACACTACACTTCGGCTTACCTTATAAATCTTAGCCAAGATTACACTACACTTCAGCCTAGCTTCTACACCTCTCTCCCCCAGTTGCTTGTCTTCTTAAAATCAGTAATCCACTCATAATTTCTTATTCCTGACAACCTCATTCTTCTACAGAGTGTGTGTGTGTGTGTGTGTGTGTGTGTGTGTGTGTGTGTGCTGGTGTTTGGTATTGGAGATTCAGTTCAGGGAAGACTGAGCTACATTGCTAGGATCTCACTGTATAGTGCAGACTGGCCTTAAACTTGCTTATGTAACCCAGGCTGGCCTCAAATTCATGACAGTCTTCCTGCCTCAGCCTCCTTAATGCTACAATTACAGGCATGCACTACCACACCTTTGCTAGGCCTTTTTTTATTTATTTAAAATATTTGAATTTTTTTGCGGTACCGGGTATTGAACTCAGGACCCTTCGCTTGTCAGGCAAGCACTCATTCTACTTAGCTGTCTCCCTGGCCTTATTTAAAAATTTGGAGACAAAATCCCACTAAGTTGTCAGGCTGTCCGTGATACATGATGGGGCCATAATTTGTATGTCTGGCTGTTGGCGTCTCTGATTTAAATTTGATTTTTCCTGCCAGTTTGCATCATTGGTGGTACACATGTGACTGTCTTGTCAGGGGCTTCTACTACTTTACTTCTCAGTAATGCTTCTCTTTGATAAGAAAGATTTTGATTTAGCAGACCAGATGTCATCCTATTACAGAAAGCCTTGAAATGGTATAAAAAATTGTAACAGCTAATTTGTGGTACAGCAGTTATAAATGCATATGATATACATTAGCAATAAGGTACTCATACATTTCCATGTTAAAATTAAGACAATTAATTATTGATAAACTATTCACAACTGTAAATAAATTTATTTTGATTTAATTAAATCTGCTCATTATAATATTTTAATTGGTATAAGCAATATTAGTATTTATATTTGGGCAGTAGTTAAATTCAAGCAATTAGATTAAGTCCATTTATAGACTTTTTATTAATTTTATTATTAAAAAGACTGATGAAAGTGATTAACTCTGTTTGTACTCCCAGTGTACAAGCAGATGAGTACGACAGTCATGCATGTATCAGTGGTATTTCAAGTCACTAGGAATGTGTTAAAACTTGTGAGCTTCCTGCATCAGCCTCCTCAAGAGCTTGAGTAGTTGGCATTATAGGAATATACCACAACACCTGTGTTTGTTTGTTTTTTTTTTTTTTTTTTTTTTTTTTTTTTTTGGTATTAAGATTGAACCCAGGGCCTTTGCACTGAGCAAAACCCTATTTATTTATTTATTTTTATGTGTTCAGTATAGGATCTTACTATGCAGCTTGGACTCATAGTGATCCTCCTGTTTATAGCCTCCCCAACCCTGAGATTACAGTTGTGTGACACCACACTGGTCTCTGTCGCTGGCTCAGCACACCTGGGGGCGGGGCCAGTGCGGCATGTGGTGGTGGGGATTGAACCTGATCCCTGAGTTTACCTAAGCAGGCACTTAGACCACTGGGCTATCTCACCAGCTCAAAGCCCTTTTTATTTTGATTCAGGGTCTCACTAACTTGCTAAGTTGCTCATCTTGGGCTTTCAGAGTGCTGGGATCATAGAAATGTGTCACTTCATCTAACACTTATGTAGATTTTTTCTGTTTTCTGTCTTTTTTTTTTTAATCTGAAAACAAACAAAAAACCAAGGTCTTGCTATGCAGTTCAGCCTGGCCTTGAACTTATTTATGTAGCCCAGGCTGGCCTCAAACTCACAGCAATCCTCCTGCCTTAACCACCTGAGTGCTGGGATTATGGGCTGCAGCTTTTGATAGTTGGTGCCATGCTTGTTTTTCCCTGTCCAGAATCTGAATTCTAAATAGTAATTTAATGCATTTCTATGAATAATGCTATTTCCACAGTGTCCAGAAGACAGTGCAGTTCTAAGCTCTTGCTCTTCCCTCATCTAGTTTGAGCAATTGGATTATTTCTCTTTGTCCAACATGGTTTCTGCTTTGCTGGGAGTGAATACCTCAGGGGACTCGGTGAAGGCCTAGCCTGATGGACTTGTCAGACCTTGGGGATGAACTCCTCCTGTACTCCCGTTGTCCTCTGTGGGAGTACTGAGAGACAGAATGCTAGTGGCAAGGATGCCCAGAGATGGACAGGCTTTTTTAAACTCCAAAGTGCCCTATATGTCAGTCTCACATGGCTGGTGTAGGTACAGAGAGGTACATGAGAGTGTGGTAGACATGTTTAGCTCTCTGGAACTTTGTACCTAATGAGATGGAGACAAAGGCTGCCTTTTTTTTCTTTGTTTTTCTTTTGCAAATATCATAATTCTTATGGCCAGTCTAGGTATCTCTAATGGTATTAGTCATATTTCTGTTGCTGTCACAAAATACCTGACTTACGCAACTTAAAGGAGAAAAAGTTTATTTTGCCTGGCAGTTTTCAGATTCAGTCTGTGGTTGGCTGGCTCCAAGACCTAAGATCTTTATGCGCAAAGTGGATAGTGAAAGAAAGGTGTTTATTTCACAGCAGCCAGGAAGTAGAGAGAAGGGAAGGGGCTGGGTTAAGGCACACCCTTCCAGGTTATGTCCTGGTGACCTCCTTCTGTAACAAGACCTCACCTCTTAAGGACACATTCACCTATGAACTTGGTGAGGCCTACTCCATCCATGAAGTTAATATCCCTGAGATCTACCCACTTCCCAGACATCCCACCTCTGAACATATGAGCCTTTTGGAGAACACTTAAGAGTTAAACCCTAACGCTTGAGTAGTATAGACAAGTGCCACTAGCTTAGTATTTGACATTGTAATAGATAATTGGACTATGTGTTTATTTTAGGTGGGCAGTCGACCTGATAGCTTTGGAGACTCCCGGGAGAAGGTTGTGGCATTCAGCTTTGATTACTGCTACTGGTCAGTTAACCCAGAGGACCCTCAGTATGCATCTCAAGATATGGTAATGTCCTTTTTGTTTCATGCGTCTCAATTATCATTATTATTATTATTATTATTATTTTGATACTGATACTGGGGATTAAGTCTAGGGCCTTTGTACTGCACTATATCCCCAGTTCATTTATATTTTTATGTTTATTTTTGTTTTTATTTGGGGGGATATCAGGAATTGAACTTAGGACACTGTGTTTGCCAGGCAGGCACTTGTGCCACTGAGCTATATTCCTGGCCCCTATATTTTTATTTTTGAATTAAGCTTTATTAAATCACTAAGTTGCCCAGAATCCTTCTGCCTCAATCTCCCATTGTGCTGAGATTACAGGAGTGCACCAGGACACTTGGCTTCTTAGATCTTATTTAAAAAAATATTTATCAGGGGCCGGGGTGATGGCTCAGTGGAATAAGTGATTCCCTGGCAAGTGCAAGGGCCTGAGTTCAATCCCTGGTTCCGCAAAAAAAAAAAATCATAACGATATTCTTCATGGTCATTATGACAGTTGTACAGATTGGGAGTATTCTTATCGATACTTAAAACTTTAAAAAATTTTAATACATAGTGCCGGTTTGTGCACGTAGTACCGGGGATTGAGCCCTAGTCCCTGGGTTTGCCTATGCAGGTGCTTAGTCTGCTGAGCTATCTCAATGTCCTTGTATTGAAATTTTTTCTTTTTAAAAGGCACCACATAGGGGCTGGGGAGATGGCTTAGTAGAATAAGCGCTTGCCTGGCAAGCTCAAGGGCCTGAGTTCAATCCTCGGTTCTGCCAAAAAAAAAAAAAAGTAAAGTATCGGCAGAAAGAAGACCCCCCAGAGAGAACTGAACTTTTAATTGATTAAATAGAAAAATTTTCTGCTATTTGT